CTGCAGCATGAGTTCACCATAGTTATCCTTTTCCTCTTAATCCTAGGGTTCATGTGGAACAGCCTAAGATGGATGCTGTATCCATAGTGGGTTTGTCTCATAGTTGGGGAAATCTGAGCTTGGGAAACTCCAGTCTTTTAAAGGAGTTGCTAGCAAACCTGCCCAAATTTTGCCCTGGAGGAGACATTATCTTTACTGCCCTGGACAGCAAATATAACTTCCATCTGTCCTGGGAGGAGTTAATATTTTTAATTTCCAAGGCTGCTTGCTGTATAAACATCATTGAAAATATAGTCTGGAACAAAAGCTAATACAAGACATGCATAAATTGAGAGACCCATGGAGAATTGCCTCCCAACATTCAAGCATCATAAGAGTAGTTGAATTATACAATATTTAGAATTCTAAGTCTGGTGCTCTAAGTTCCAGTGATGAAAAAATTCTTTAATTATTGAAAACTACTATATATTTTACCAAGTGATAGACTCAATACTTCTGATTTTGAGTCACAGGATGTATTCTTGTTTACCCTGTTAAGAATTGAGAATATGCTTTCAATGTGAGAACTCATGACTTAACTATGGAAAACTTTGTCATTATTCTTTAAAATATTGATCTTCTCTCATTCTTTTTATTTTTTACTCCTGAGAGGTAAATGTTGGAACTTCTTAATTTACCTTTACATGTCTCGTAATTTCTCTTTCATGTTAGTCATCCATTTATCAATCTCTGCTACATTCTGGATGAATTCTTCAGAATTCTTTTCCAGTTCAGTAATTATCTCTTAGAATTAGGCCTAAGCTAGAAGTTATACTATATATTGATTTTTTTTCACACTAATTCTATATCAACATCTATATTTTTTATTTTGAGAATTTCTCACTGTTTTTTTTAACCATTTATTCTTTATTTCTATCTGACTTTTTATCTGGATATTTGTTATGACCAATTTCTTTTTTCTTTTTTTGTGAATGTAATTCCATTCTTTCTCTTTGATCTTAATCATGCTTTCTAATAGTCACTTTCAGATTTGCATTTCAACAAGGATGAATTGTTCTGATTATTGAGTTCATTTGCTCACTTAATATTTTATTTCCTTCTGTGGTTTAGAATTTTAGTTTGCTCTCCCATACTGAGTGGGAGGTTTTTCATTTTGCTCTTCTGTCTTTCTGCATTCTCTTCTAGTTTGGAGATTTTGACTTTAGCATAATCTGCTTCAAGATCCCTCAGTCCAAAGCCTTTCTGCCTATCATGATTTAAAGGATTTTGCAGATCTCATCACTGAGCCAGTAGAAAGTAGATGCCATGTCTCTGTTCTGTCCTACTGTCTTAAGTACCTGATTTCATATAAAAGGAAGAAGGTGTGGATTTTTTTCAATTTTGTCTTCTAGGCAAGGGACCCCCACATTTAGCCCCATTATTTCCACCAAGCCTAGGTTAGGGCTTTCATTGAAAATGGGGTGTTTATGTACCTTGACCC